GATTGGGCCATGTCGAATGGAAAGCCGACGACAAGACTGAGATGGACAACTCGAGTTACGCCGAATTCTCCGAGGATCGAAACGACCATAGCGGCACTGGAGTGCTCGAAGTGGTACCTGGCCGAGACTGCGCTTTGGCCGAAGCCGCAAAAGTTAAACCGAACCACCTGAAACAAATGTGACCCAAGTGGTACCACGTTGCTAATGTCGGGGCCAGCTGAAACCTGTATGGCAAAACATGTACTTGACTGGCTGAAGAATTACTCGCCCAAGCCCGCACCCAGCAGTGACGCAGATGCTGGCGCGCTCAGTATCACTTGCAAACACTGCGGCCATGCAACATGCAGTCAACTTGCATCAAACGGGACACACGCGCAACGTGAATAATATCTAGAACCACTGGGATCGATAAGGCTCAAACGATACATGAAACATGTCAACTGTGCCCGACCAACCGTGTGCCTAAGAACGCCTCCGCGCGAGTAACTAATGTCGCGATCCCGTGTGAACAACATGACCACCTCTCACAACTGCCCTCCAGGAGACACCGCGAGCACCTTCCACAGCGAACGCCATCCTTCGTCCGACCATCTGACCGCATGCCAGGCTGCCAGACCGAGGGAATGCAAACGGAGAGCCTGAGCGGCATGTTCAGGGCCCCTGCTTGCGCCCGAGGACGTCAGCCGGAACACGCACGCGAGCTGCCCGGACGGCCCATCTGGGCCGAGCGCCCCGCCGCCAAGGCTCCACAGATGGCTGCGGAGGCGCGGAGCGCAGCGGGGGCGCTACTACCGACGGAGATCAACCGCGGCCAAGCGTCCATGCAGCGGGGGGGGGGCCCCATCCTGGCTCTCGTCGTCGCCCTCCTCCTCCTGCCTCTCCTCCGCCATCTCGCGGCCTGGTCGTCATCGTCGTCCTCCTGCCTCTCCCACATGCAGCCTCTGGGACCCCCCCTCCTGGCCGTCGTCGTTGCGGTCCTTCTCCTCCCTCCTCCACTACCTCGCGATCCGTGGGGCGAGGGCACCCAGTCGGGCCAGGGAAAGCCGAAGAAGGGGGGGCGGTTGGGGTGGGGGGAGGAGGAGCAGGAGGAGGGAGAGGGCAGGATTCTGATGTGACCCTCTGCTCCCCATCGTCGCCACGATTGGATGCACCCTGTGAGGGAGCGCCGGCTCGGGCTGCGCCGAACAAGGCAGCCTCGAAGGAGAGTCGGGGAGACGAAGACTCGGGTACGGGGGACTCGGGTTGGCCTGACGGGGCCATTAACAAAAATGACGAGGCCCAATCTGAAATTTGACGCGAGCTCCCGCTGCAAACATCCCACGCGCAGACTTGGCCGTCAAAATCCAGGACACGCTCGTCAAAAAACGAAGGCAGACCCGGGTTCCGGCTTACTCGGGCCTTACGTTTCCCCGAGAGAGGCACGCCGGTGGCGCGTGCACGCACGTGCAGCCACGCCGTGCCCTGGGCACGGCCACGGGGCGACGGGGCGCCGGCGGAGCGGCACCTTCTGCGGACCCACCGCGAGGCGCGGGGGGGCGCCCCACGGGGCGCCCCGCGCGGCGCACGCGGGGCGCCGGCGGGAGCGGTCCGCGGCGGGCCCGTCCGCTTGCGAGGGCACGAGCCTCGTCGCCTGCGGGCGGTGGTGGCGCGGGTAGAGTCGGGCTGCATCGGACAGGACGCGCGAGAGGACGTGGGAAAAAAAAACACGGTGGGCAAAAAAACATACAAGAAATACAAAAACACACACGTGGGAATAAAAACACACACACACACACACAAACACACTGTGGGAAGAAAAACAAACAAAAACACACACTGTGGGAAAACACACACACGTGGGGAAACAATGACACACACAGTGGGAAAAACACACACACACACACACAGTGGGAACAAAAACACACACTTGTTCTTCCCGAGGCCCTGCCGAGGGCCACGTCGCCACAGGAGTGCAAGAAGGCACGGGTGGCAAGGCACGGGGCACGAGGGCAGCCTTGGTTTGGCAGGGTCGGCCTACGAAATCTGGGCCGACTGTACGTTCACCGCCGCCTCGTCGTAAGTCGGGCGTGTCCCCCTACAGGAGATTTTGGGCGAAAAATGACAAAAATCCAAACTACCCTCAAAAAGGTAAGTAAAAAAAAACAAAAAAAAGTCCCCAGACTATGTTTGGACTATTTTGGGGGGAATCTTTTATTGTTCGGCGAAAGTCCCCCTGTAGGCGGACAGGCCCGACTTAACTCTACGTTCGCCGCCGCCTCGTCGCTGGCGAGAGGCGGTGGGATGTCGATGTGCTGCGGGATAGGTGGCTCGTGGTGGCATCGGGTCCTGGGGGAACCCAGCGTGGTGTTATGTCGGGCGTGCCCCCCTGCAGAGGGGGTTTCGATGAAAAATCTACAAAAAATGCTCCAAAAAGCAAACTAATATGCAAACAATAGTCCCCATACTATTTTTGTATTTTTTGTTGATTATGTTTGGGGCATTTTGTATTTTTCGTCGAAAACCCCCCTGTAGGGCGACACGCCCGACTTAAGCGTAGTGGGCAGCAGTGGTGCGTTCCCTCCAGTGGCTGCGTTGCTGCTGGTGCAGTTCGCGCACACCAGTGGTGGCGTTTTGCGGCCTCTGATCGCCCCTGCTAGATTCCCAACCATCACTGGTCACTGTGGGTGTTTTGCTGCATAGCAGCAGCAGGCGGTGGCGTCTCCGTGGAGGTGCCGAACGTGGGTGACCAGGTAGGCACCGCGGTCTGGGTAAGATAGCCTGGCGAGTGTGTGCCTTGCGCATGCTCTGGTCAGCTGCGTGTTTTGCCAGGCCTTGAGGCAGAGGTCGTGAGCTTCCCTTTGTCGCAGGAAGTCCGTAGGGTCGATGCCACGATGCTAGTGACGAGTCATGACGCCGAATAAGGGATGCTGAAGCTATTCCACAGCGCGGTCGATGCAGGTGTCCATCCTCTCGTTGAAGGCGTCACTTTCTTTTGGGCCCGCGGTAACCAGATCGCGACCGGATCACGCATGCGGTACACGAGAAGGACAGAGAGAGAGAGGGGATGGTGCAACGAACGGGGAGACGGAGGGGTTGAGGGCTTGCTCCTCCTGCTCTGAACGCCGAAGCAGCGACATCTTTCCGGGGGCGCTCGCTGCGGACGAACCTCTACGACGGGCTCGCTCAAGAGGCTCTTACTCTGAGCGAGACGGGGCCGGCCGGGCGGCGCGGTGCGAACGCCCCGGCGCGTGCAGCATCATTGGCGGGCATGCGTGGGGTCGGGTCGACCCCTCGGAGCTGGACTGGAGCTGGCGGTCGAGGCCTCCGCGAGCCTGGCGTGATCACAGACGAGGCGGTCGGAGCTGCTCGATGCTGGGGCGGTACACTGTAAACCGTGACTGGGGTCATGACTCGGATTCTTGAAAACACGAGCCGTGACCCGGGAGCTCTTGGAGACCTGCCGCTGTCAAGGTCACCTGCTCGGGCAGCCACGCGCGGTTCCTGCTCCTGCAGATCCAGGCGACCCTCCGGCAAGGAGCTGGCTGCTGCCGAGGGACGCCCCCCCCAATGTGGTGACCCCCGCGGGAGCGTCGGGGAGCCGCGCGCGGCTGCCCGCCAGGTTCCTTCGACCAGGTCGTGCGGCTTCGCGCCTCGCGCCGCGCGCGGCGCGCCCCCCCTCGCGCTCGCCGCGCCGCCGCCCCCTGGAAGATCGGGTCGGGCGGGAGGGGGGGATAGCAAAGGGGGGGGTTGAGAACCAGCTCGCGCAGCTGATTCTCCTGGCGCCGGGAGGCGGCTGTGCATCGAGGAATGGGCCCCTCGGTGCGGCCGAAACCAGCTGCATGCAGCAAATTTCGTAACCCCCCCTTTTCGGGGATGGACAGACGCCCCTTTCGTAAAACGTGGTTTAGTGAAAACGACCTGAGGCCCAGACCTCGCGGGCGCAAGCCTGGAAACTGAGGGCCGCGACGCCCTTCTCGAGAAGCGAAAACGGACAACTCACGAATCGACGTGTCACTGTTGGGGGTTCTGTCCACCCCCGACCTCTCCCACACCATCCCCCCCTACTCGCCATCGCTCGGACGTCCATTCCGTGTGTTTTTTGCCGGTTTCGTGCGTGGTTTCTTCGCCAAATGATCAAGGATGCTCCTCGATGGTCCTCGCCGAAGGAAACATGCACACGTCCGAGCGATGTCGAGCCTATCTTCCGGCCCGGACCTCGCGCTCGCCGCGCCGCCGCCCCCCGGAAGAGACCCCCCCTCGGAGCCAGGCCGCGAGGCGCGCCCCTCCACGTGCCCCTTGTGCGGCCTCGGGGCTGCTCAGGAGAGGGCACAAGAGGAGGCACCACTACCACCATACAGGGCAGTCTTTTTTTTAAATACATTTGATCTTTACAATATATGATGTTTGACACATGATTACGCTATGCATACATATATGCATGAACTCATCGTTGCTTTGATACTGAAGCCCTGCATTTTTCAGACAGGATCCGCACGCGGAGCATTCATGAAACACGGCACGATAGCGAGAGGCGCCGCGGTCCCGGTGGTGGGGCCTCTCCCGCGCTCGAGGCGTGTCCCCCGTGGATCCCCAGCTCGGGGAGGCATCGTGGACCCCCCCCCGATGACCAGAGCTTCGAGAAGGGCCCAGCCGCAGCGACGAGGGCTCTCCGGGACGAGCGGCGTGGTCGGTGCCTCTCCCTCTGCTCTATATATATATATATATATACCCCCCCGCTGGCGGTGGCACCCCTTATGGTGGTGGTGGTGGTGCCGCCTTTCCTCCGAGCGGGTGGCAGCACCTTCCAGGCGCCGCCGGGACTGCCGAGAGAGAGACGAAGGGGCCCCAGGACACATAAATCAATACACACGGATAGATGGATTCCCCATCTAAAACAGGGCTAGGATCGGGATAAATCGCTCCAGAGCGTTCCGGAGCGCTCTCAGAGCGTTCCGGAACGCTCTGGAGCGGCCGCGGCGCCCAATACATCCTCCAAACCCGCCGATTCTCAGAGATTTCGAGTTATCCCGATCCGATGTTGTCCCGATCTTCGCGTCGTTTTACATATGTCCCAGTATCTTCTGTGGGGTCGACGACGAACTGTGTCTGTGTGCTTTTGTTCCCCTCCTCCTCCTCCTTTTTTCTTGCGCAGGCTGCCGAGCGCACACGCTCGTAGCGTCAAACCCTCCTCCTCCTCCTCCTCCTCCTCCTCCTCCTCCTCCTCCTCCTCCGAGAGAGAGAGAGAGAGGGCGAAGGGACGGCGCAGCGGGGAGCTCGGCGGGCCCCGCCCTGCGGGGGGCGACCGGCCCCGGCCGCGCCACGCTGGCCCCTTCGCGACGCGCTGCGCACTCGCCCACGGGGCTTGATTGGGCGTGGCTTCATGGGGGGGGTCACAAATGTCAGGGGGACGTAAGACCTGGGTACAGGGGACTCGGAAATCCCCGACGAGGTCGTCAAAAAAATGACGAGGCCGAGCCTGCATTTTGACGAGGCCTCCCGCTGCAGACATCCCACGAAACTCCTCCTCGTCAAAATCCGAGTCGCGGTCGTCAAAAAACGATGGCGAACCCGAGTCCTGGCAAACCCGGGTCTTACGCTCCCCCGATAATGGGGGGGGTCACAAATGGGGGGGTCAGAAAGGGTCCCCTTTCGTGCCCCTTTCGGGCCCCTCCAGAGCCCCAAGGGGGCTCGTTCAGGTGCCGTTTGGGTACCTTTTCGGACCACGCTCGCCACCCCGCCATTTATGACCCCCCCGTTACACGGCGCCCAACTTGAGCAGGGACCGAACGTCCCGGCATTCCTAAAGTCATACCACGATGTGTTCTTTGAGCCCAAATATGTTCTCAGAACAGAAACACTGTTCTCAGAACATGCACCCGATGTGTTCAAACAAGACAGACTCCCGGCCAGAACTGTCCTGAGAACACGTCGTGAAAACCACAAGAAGGTTCTTAGAACATTGTTTGGTGAGGCTACAGGCACGCCGGGACGCTTCGCCACTGCTTCAAGGGCAGCGTCCAGGAGGGGCCACCGCAGGCCCACGGCCCCCGGGGGGGCACGTGCGCGGCCCCACGGGGGGGGCCGCCGGGCGCACTTGCATCCGAAGCGGGGCGCACTTGCATCCGAAGCGCGCTTGAATCCGAAGCGGGCGCACTTGAATCCGAAGCGCACTTGAATCCGAAGCGGGCGCCATTCGAAGCGCACTTGAATCCGAAGCGGGCGCAGTTGAATCCGAAGGGAGAAACCCTTCGGCGGTGGACACACCTCCCTCTCGTAGACCTCCCCTTAGCGAGAAAACGGCCCGGAACCGACGCCGGCGGACCTGGACCCGCAGAGAAAGGACGGCCGTGAGGCCCTCTCTCGCGAACCGAAGACGGCCACTTCACTCATCGACGCGTCAGGGCAGGAGGTCTATATCCCCCCCCGAGCCAGATGAACCAGGCACCCGGCCGCGGACGCCCCCCCCCCGCTGGACAGCGCCCCCCTCTTGAGGCCGCTCCCGGTGTGCCCACCTGCGCGCGTCGTGCGCGGCGCCCCGGGGGGCCGAGCTCAGAGCCCGAGGCGCCCGCTCCCGACTTCCGGGCACGGCGGGAGCCGTCGGGCCCGGCCGAATTCGCGTGCGGGCGCGGGGGGCCGTCGGGGGGAGGCCGAGCTCACCCCGAGGCCCGCCGCCACGCCCCAGACCTCTGGACGGCCTGCTCCCTGGGCTTCTGCTGCCCCCCGTCGTATACTCCAGGGACCGCGGCCCGGAGCTGCTCTCGAGCACACGGACAGGCTCCGAAAGAGTGTCGGAGGAGTACAGCCTCCCAGGGCGCGGCCTAGAGCTGCTCTCGAGCACACGGACAGGCACCGGAAGGGTGTCGGAGGAGTGCAGCCTCCCAGGGCCCGACGCCCTCAGGGGTCGGCAGTTTCTCGGTGCTCGAGATCCTTTCTGGCGATCACGGCGAAAGCAGGCTGGAACATCAGAACCCTGTGTCAACCATTGGGGGCTCTGAAGATTCCGACCTCAACTGGGGGGGACAGAAGGCAACGATGCCGCTACTCCACTGACCACACTTGGAGTGCGTTCTGGCCAGAACTCCCGGGCGAATTCAGCCGACGGCGAGGGACGGGCAGCGGTCTCGGTGCCCAGTCTTCTGAATCGTGTAGGTGTCGCGCCGTGGGCTGCTCTTCGCATTGATCCCCCCAGGCTCGCACGGACCCCTCGCGAAAAGGCCTGCTGTCTGTGGGCCCAGCAGCCTGGCCTCCGGAGAGGCCCAGGCTCGGAAGGAGCTGGCCGCATGTACCCTCGTCAGGGCACCAGAGGTCTGGGCTGTCCGAATTCCTGCTCACATGCAGGGCCCTGCGATGAACCGCATGCGTTAGGAGGCAACTGCTGGCAGGTCTTCGATGGCCACTACGCATGAGTAAGGGCGTCCATGCCGAAGCATCAGCCCCACGAGTAGAGACCTCCTAGATGGGGTCGGAGTGGATGGGGTCGGAGGATCGCGCGGCATCGCCGATGCATCGGCAATGCGTCGGCGAGGACCCCACCCTCTCCGACCCCATCCAGGAGGCCTAGAACAAGGGGAGTGGGGACATGGACAAACGACTCGCCCCTGGCAAGGGGGGGGGCGGGGGGAGGGCGAAACAGAGAGCGCCTCGGTGCACCATAATATGGGTGCCTCTTCACGTGCATTTGCACGCCCCAAATGGGCACGGAAAGAATGGGCACAATGCCCAACAACAAATGTTGTCCCAAACCAACCAACAGCGGCCACTGTTGGGCAGGCGGCCTTCTGTCTCAAATGGGCACCGGCCGCGGCGGCGCGGGCAGCGAGCCCTGTTTAGGATGAGCGGGAACTGCTGCTGGGCATTGTACCCATTCTCTCCGTACCCATGTCGCTCGTGCAGAGACTGTGCAGGGACATTGAGCAGGGACCGACCGTCCTGGCATTCCTATAGTCATACCACGAATTGTTCTTAGAACCCAAACGTGTTCTAAGAACAAAAACAACGTTCTTAGAACATAAACACGATGTGTTAAAACAAGACAGTCCCAGCCAGAAATGTTCTACGAACATGTCGTGGGAACCACGAAAGGCGAGCCGGGACGCTTCGCCACTGCTTGAGGATGGGGGAGGGGTGGGGATGGTCCAGGATGGCCCTCGCCGAGAGAAAAAACGCACCCGTCCGAGCGACTCCAGGTGCCGGGCATTGTACACCCATTCTCTCCGCACCCAGCTCGATCGTGCAGCGACAGTGCTTGAGGATGGGGGGAGGGGTGGGGATGGACACGGCGCCCCTCGCCGAGCCAGCGCCGAGGCTCCGCCCGACCTCCCAGGAGCTGCCTCCCGCTGGGCGCGGGCGGGCCGCCGGCCCCCGAGGCCTTGTGCTGCGGGGACCGGGCGCCGCGCCCGCCGGGCTCCGGGCGGCGCCGCGGGGCGCTGCTCCCCCGGGGGGCGCTCGAGCGCTCCTCCTCCTCCTCCTCCTCCTCCTCCTCCTCCTCCTCCTCCTCCTCCTCCTCCTCTCCTCCTCCTCCTCCTCCTCCTTGCTCCTCCTCTTCCTCCTCCTCCTCCTTCTCCTCCTCCTCCTCCTCCTCCTCCTCCTCCTTCTCCTCCTCCTCCTTTTCCTCCTCTCCTCCCCCTCCCCCTCCTCCTCCTCCTCCTCCTCCTCCTCCTCCTCCTCCTCCTGCTTCCGGACGAGGCTCCGACGACGTGGTGCGATGGTCTCGGGATGCGCTCGACGGATCCTGGAGTGTGGCTCGCGGCCTTCGATTCTGGAGACAGGGGGGTACAACAGGACCCTCCTGTCGAGGCACATTGCTCCTCTCGCCATTGGCCCCTTGGCCTCCTCCTCCTGCTCCCGCCTCGGGCCCCTGCCACCTGGAGAGTGCCCCTGCCCACAGCACCTCTGCCAGAGGGCGTCTCGCGCACGGGAGTGCCCTCAGACGAGCGAGAGACCACCTCACTCCTCGGCGTCGCGATTCGGGGAGCCGTCGGGAATGCCGCGCCATTCGTGCTGGCGCCTCCGCACCAAGACCAGGCTGCGCGCGACCCACACCGCCACGAGGGCGGAGCCCATGACGCCTGTGGAAATGGCAGCCACGGCGGCGGCCTTCTGCTGCGCCGAGGGCTGGGATGCAGCCAGCTGGCCCGTGGAGACCCTGGCCACCTCCTCGTCGGGCACCTCCAGGTCGAAATTCACGACGCTGAGCGGCCCGTGTGTGGCGCTGGCGCCATCCTCCACGTCCATGAAGAAGCCGTGCCGGACCATCCGCTCCACGAGCGCGCGGTCCACTCGGTAGGGAAGCCCGTCCCGAAACTGCACGACAACCTGTCGGCGACTCGAAAGGGTGCGGTTTGCAAAGGGTGTGGTTTGCAACCGGCACCCTAGGGGGGCACCCCGGGGTTTGGACGCCCGGAATGGGCACGGAAAGAATGGGTACAATGCCCAACAACAACTGTTGTCCCAAACCAGCAGCGGCCGCTGTTGGGCAGGCGGCCTTCTGTCTCGAATGGACACAGGCCGCGGCGGCGCGGACAGCGAGCCCTGTTCAAAATGAACAGGAACTGCTGCTGGGCACTGTACCCCTTCTTTCCGTACCCATTTCGGGCGTCCAGATGGGGGGAGAAGGAGGAGAAGGAGGAGGAGGAGGAGGAGGAGGAAAACGAGGAGGAGGAGGAGAAGGAGGAGGAGGAGGAAGAGGAAGAAGAGGAGGAGGAGGAGGAGGAAGAGGAAGAAATGGAGGAGGAGGAGGAAGAGGAAGAAGAGGAGGAGGAGGAGGAGGAAGAGGAGGAGGAGGAGGAGGACCCCGTCCGCCCCCCAAGCGGCGCCGACATAGCCGAGCACACCCTGCGGAACCTCACCCTTTGCGGCCGCCGAGCCTCGTGGGCGTGCACCCGCTCGGGCTCCCGGCCCCTGCCGTCGCGGAGCCGGCGCCCCCCCCACGGCCACCTGGGCGGGCACCGGCAACACGTGAGGGGGCCCTGGGACACACAAATAAATACACACCTCCTCCTCCTCCTCCTCCTCCTCCTCCTTCTCCTCCTCCTCCTCCTCCTCTCTCAAGCCTCTCAAGCCATCGAGCACCTGGTCAATCCATGATCAGCCGATGCTAGACTACAGTCAGTCCGAGTCGTCAGACTGTGAACGACCGCCGATGGGGGGGAGGAGCGGTGCCTCGTCCTCCTCGTCCCGCACGTTGGCGGGCGGCGGGGGCGGCGGAAGAGCAGCAGGGACCTCAAGCCTGGGACCAACCTGAGGGGCGAGGGAGGACAGAGGAGGGAAGGACGAGAGGGGGAAAGATTGGCCCAGCTTGTGAGGGGTCCCTGGGAGCAGCCCCCTGAGGAGTTTCGACCGTTCGGCACTCTTCTGCGGGGGCTGACATCTCTCAAGGAGGCGTGACCCAGCCCCGGTGCTGGCGAAGCCTCCACAAGAGGAACAGAAAATAACAGGAATATCAGAAGTGGCAGGGGTCGGCTCGAGGCGAGCCCAGTGCAAAGAGTGTCCTAAACCCCCTTCCCCCCTCAGGAGAGAAGCCAAAGACGGGTTAGGACCTTCGCACTTGGTCTTGCACGAGCCCGTGACAACCCTCAAACAGTTCTTGCAACGCAGAACGTTCCCATGGGGAACAGGCTGGTGCTCAGGGCCCTCAGGCTTTGGGACCTTGGCCTTCGTAGGCCTAGTGAGCTTCCCATGGATAGATTCGGTGGACGGAAAACAAACAAGCACAGCAGTAATACCTTCTACAAGACTGAGGTACTCACGCTCTCCTCTTTCAAAGTCAGACAACTCCTGGGGGTTAAGGTTCTGACACTGGGCTGCAACTTTGGCAAACTTGTCTGCATAATCTGATCCGATGATGGTGCACCTGTCGCATTCATCAACGGCCTGGTCAATGGATCTGTGCGCCTTAATCTTCTTTAAATCCACCCAAGGGCCTTCGAGAAGCCTCCTGGAGATTTCACGCCAAAAGAAAGAGAGCCTGGACGCCCCCGACAGGGCCCTAGGAGGGTCACGGGTCCCGAGAAACAGGGACGCACAGTCGACAGAAATGGGCTTCGGGACCTGCTCAGGGGTGGGGTTTTTCCTCCTGAGGCAGGCCACCGCCAACGCACCATGTTCGGCGTCGCTGGCAGCCTGTAGGAATTGGGCAGGGAGGGGGCTGTAGACTCCTCGAACTAGCTGGTCGCCTCTCATTTGGACGACCGAAATACCAGCCCTCGCAATCTCCTCTGTCTCAGGCTGGAGGCATGACCCGTCTGTGTACAGGTCATCCTCTGCTTCAAATTGGATTTCGTCAACTGGGGTCCCGTCACTCCCGAAAAAGAACAGCATCCAGTCTTCCACAGGAGAAGGAAGATCGGGGTACGGGACCCAAAGCCTGGAAAGCAGAAACGAATTTTGATCAGCCCGGTGGACCTGCTCCAAAAAATCTTCTCCAAAATGCTGGGGCCGCACCTGCACCACACTGGGGTGGTCACACTCCCAAGCGCGATGCCACTGTGTGTCTCTACACCTTCTGCAGAGGGGGCACCGCTGGTCGATTTGATATCCCCACCCTGCAAGAGCTTCAGCAGTCGGGAGCGATCCCGAGAGAACTTGACAGTACACGTGCAACTGGGCTGCAGGGAGGCTTCGTGCTACTCTCTGCATCATGGGTAGCCATAAGCCTCTTGCAACAAACTCTAGACCCCCAGGAGTGTCTCTGAGTTTACGTGTTATAACTTTCTGGAGCATAGTGTACCTAAGATCTGAAACGAAAGCTTCGGCGACCTGGGCTGGAGGTCGCTCCGTGAGGATCCAACGAAATCCAGTCCGAGAGACGAAAATAGCAGGACTCTCCCAGCTCCATCCGCCAGCTTCCAACCACAGCAGCATGGCCGACACAGGCCCGCGGGTCCGATACAACCATGGCTTCCGCTCTGTTTGTTTAAACACTTGCACTGCTGCATTAAAACTTCGGCTCAGTTCGCCAGGGCTCATCACATCTTGGTGCCTGGGCCTTCCACGAGTAGTCGGTTCACTTGTGTGCCACCACTCCCAGGCATATCTCTTCAGAGGTCCTGCAGCAAGAAACAAGGGGTCACCTCGGTACTTATTTATGGCCCACTGGAGTTCGAGGACACAACCCTTCTTTGAGACCCCAGAGGCCCTGGCCGCGGCTCTTCTTATGTGTAAGATCTCCCCTGGGGTTACTCCCTGCACTTCCATGCCATATGAGATAGTAGACAAAACTCCAGCCTTGAAGAGCCGAGCCTTCACTTTGCGAGGAAGTTTCATGGTCCCCAGGCGTTTGTGTCGATGGACAAACTTAACCAGTCTCTTTCGACGGATAACTCTAGCAGCACAAACCTTCTGATGACGTCCAGTAGTGTAAGCCACTCCGAGGTTCCCAGGAGCCCAAGAAGTAGTCCCTGCAAGAAAACCCAATTCAGACTTCACTTTGATCAGGAGGTCCCTAGAGTTGGCGGCAGCAAACATCTTCCGCTCCGAGAGCGGCACGCGCAGGGTGGTGGAGATGTGGTAGGCCAGCGTAGTAGCCAACCCTTTGAGCTGGCAAATACACTCTTGCATGCTAGTACTCCAGCTATGAAGCGACAAATCATCAACATGGAGTCCCTGGCTGGTCCCTTCGAAAACTCTCCCACTGACGACCGTATCCCGGAGAAACGACTTCGCTTCATATGTAGCTGAAGTGCTGCCTGCCACTATGCCTTGAGTCGGGAACAGCGGCGGCGAGTACGCTCCGTCTAGCAACAAGTGGCGCCTCCACCTATACGTGGAGAGTGTGTACAGCATGACGTGCATGGGGAAATGGCTGATGATGCCCTGCCTAACTAGCTCCTCGTGGCCTATGTGCTCATAGAACTGCATGAGGTCCCACAGGAGGCTGGCCCAGTGGATCTTCTCCCCTGAGGCTCTCTCTGAAGCCACAGACTGTCTCCAAACAATGTCTAAACTGCTCCTTCCTTGGCCCATGCTGAACTCGGGCCCAAGGCCGACTTGGGCCTCCCAACTTCGGCACGGGTCTCGATGTGTTTTTCCATGCAAGCGTTCGAAGGCGTGGTAGTGGCCAATGGGCCTGCGGCCCTTGTCAGGTCTCCCCATAAGGAACACCACCAATGACTGGGACTGCTTTGGTCCCTCCCCCACAACGTCCATCAAGTGGTACATCCAAGATAGACAAGACAGCGCGGACTCCCCAAGCATGCTGAAGTGCCTCGGGTGGAAGCCGTCGGGGCAGCAGGTGTTCTGGGGGAACCTCGAGCTAATGTGCCGAAGACGTTCGCCTGGGACAGGTCCTGGGACGTGCATGGGGAAATCGCATCCCTGAGGCAGCCCGAGGTCAAGAGGGTCCCTGGAGGCTTTCCACGCTGCACCCCAGGCGTCTGTCTCGGCTATTAGTCTCGCAGGCAAAGAGCTAGAAAAACTGTCAGCAGTACGTGCAACTTCTTCGTGCACAGGCTCGCCAGCACGCAGATAAGCATAAGCTTGCCTCCCTCCTTTGCTGATAGCCTCGCCGCACCAAGTTTTCCAAGATTCTCTGGCTTGTGTTCCCCACTCCTAGCTCTTTCGATCAGGGTCGGCGGCACCGGCCGTCAGGCCTCTCCAATAAATACACACAAATAAAGATACCCCATATTTTCGAGGTTTCTGTCTTCCCCCCAATGCCCATACTCCCCCTATTTTCTGGGGGATCCACGGTTCACTGTGTCTGTGTGTGTATTTGTTTTCCTCCTGAACACGGCAGGGCCCGTCCTGGGCCGCAGAACTGGGTACCGTTGGGGCCCGATCACAAGAGACCTTCCAAAGAAGAACCCTCGCCCTGAGACCCCAGGGCGTTCACCGATTTTTGGCGTTGGGACGTCACGCTTTCCACAGCAAAACCATCGAAACCATCGAAACCCAGGGCACCATGGAGGCAAGCAGAGTCGTTCTTGGCATGGGCCCCCACTGTAAGTGGCCGGGGCCGGGCCCGGGGACCAGGAAGGGCGCTGCAGTGGACCAAGCCTGGGCCGAGGATGGGCCTGGCTATGCCCCGACGTCAGACCTCGAAGACACAGACGCAGCCCCAAAGACACAGGACAGACGACAAACGCCGCCCAAGAGACCTCGAAGGCACTGACGCAGCGCCGATGCAATGTTTGGAGTCCCGGGACGGTGCGGTGACAGGCCGTGCGGCGACCTCGAATCCCCCCAAGACCTCAGCGCACGTCGGGAGCGGCCAAGAGGGGGGTGTCCAAGAGGGGGGGTGCAAATCATGACCGGCGGCATGTGCGCGGCCCAGCGGGGAGGCCAGGGACGTAATGAAATAAGAAGAGGCGCCATGAAATCTGGGGAAATATCATGGCCCACGCCATCACATCCACCCCCCCCTAGTCATCACCCCCCTCTTTTCTGCACCCGAGCACGGTCCGTCAACGCACGGTTCCGGGACCTCGGGTGCCCCCGCCGCCCGAGACGTCCTCGGAGAACGACCCGAGTCCCAACACCGTGCGGCGACCCCGAACCCTCACCGCCCACGGCGCTGCGAGCGCCCCAAACCCCCCCCCCCGGGCCCGGCAGGGGCGGGAGGCCACCTCCAGGCTTCGAACGAGGAGGGGGGAGGGAGGAGGGGGGGAGGAGGAGGAGGAGGAGGAGGAGGAGGAGGAGGAGGAGGAGGAGGAGGAGGAGGAGGAGGAGGAGGACCCGTGCAAACCCAAGGCTTACCGTCGATGTTGGAGCACACCCCCTCCCTCGAGGCTCCATCTTCATAACCCCGTCGAAGGATTCTTTCCACTGAGGAAACGTGTCCCTTTGGGAGACAGCCGTTTGATGATCCTGAAGCGTACTAAAACACCCTTCTCGGGACCTAACCTGACTGAGTCGTCTTGACGATCCTGATTCCATTGCTGGTACCTTATCCATGGGAATCCGTGGAACTCTGGCAAATCTTCACCACGAAATTGCGCGGCGCTAAAGCGAGAACCTCAGTATGAACAAGCGCCGCCCTCAATCCGCCAATGGTTTAAAACGAGTGCGCGGCATAAAGCGAGAGCCAGATGTTAAAAACGATCAGCCCTCCAAATTTGAAGCTCGGCGCTGAAGCGAGAACACGATAACGTGCGCTCGGCGCTGAAGCGAGAACCACATTTTGAAAACGATCCGCCCTCCATATGATAAACTCTTGCAAATGTTTGAAACAACTATGCGCGGCATTAAAACGAGAACCACATCATGAATAGGACACACCCTCAATCCGCGAAGCTCGTCCAAGTAATAAAAATGATTGTGCGCAGCACTGAAGCGAAAGCCACATATTGAAATCGACCCGCCCTCCATATGTAACGCTGTTGCCAATTTTTAGGCTTCAGGCTCGGGAGTGGAAAAGAAGTATCAGGCGAAACGCCCAGCCCCCCAGGGAGAGGAAGGAGTTCTTCGTGAGAAAATGGGAATGGAGGACGGCGAGGAGAAGAAGAGAAGCACAGGGACCCCCCCCCCCCCCGCGGACACCAGCCGCCCGCGCCGCCGCCCTCCTGCGGCTCCTCGGCGCCGAGGGCCAGGGAGCTCAAGAGGCGAAGGCAGCGTGACGGCGGCGGCGATGGCAGTGGCCGCGGCGGCGCCGGAGGGGGAGGGGGAGGGGAAGGAGGAGGAGGAGGAGGGGGAGGGGGAGGAGGACAAGCTAGGTGCGCGCGCGTCATATCTGACGTCCTACCCCTCCCTCCCATCCCTTACCATGGCGCTGATTTTGTCTATCCGCGGACTAGTGGGTGGTGGTGCGCGTGCGTGCGTGCGTGCGTGTGTGCGTGGTTGTGGTGGTGGTGGTGGTGGTGGTGGTGGTGGTGGTGGTGGTGGTGCTGGTGCTGGTGCTGGTGCTTGTGGTGGTGATGATGGTGCTGCTGGTGGTGCTGGTGGTGCTGGTGGTGCTGGTGGTGCTCGTAGTGGTGGTGGTGGTGGTGGTGGTGGTGGTGGTGGTGGTGGTGGTGGTCGTGGTGGTGGTGGTGGTGGTGGTGGTGGTAGTGTGTGTGTGTGTGTGCGTGTGCGCGTGTGCTGTGGCATGGCACGGGAAATGACGCCAGCGCTGCAGCGGGAGCACGATTCGGAACGAGCGGAAGCACGGAAATGAGGCCAGCGCTGCAGCGGGAGCACGATTCGGAACGAGGGGGGCCCGAAAATGAGGCCGGCGCCTCGGCGAGAGCAGCAATTCGAAAAAAACACTAGCGAAAACCCGTTTCCCGGGAACCCTGTGTGTAAAAAACAATACGCGGGGGGGTGTCGGATATCTTCGGGACGCCATCAGGAGAAGTGGGAGAGTATTTTCATATTGTGTAATTGTGGAGGAGGAGGAGGAGGAGGAGGAGGAGGAGGGGGAGGAAGAGGAGGCGGAGGAGGAGGAGGAGGTCAGCGGCGGCGGCGGCCGCGCCCGCGCGGGCGCGGCTCCTGCGCGGCGCCGAGGCCAGGCAGCTCCGGCACCGCCTCCTCGCCAGGCTCGCCGGCGTCGGCGGCGCCCCCCCACGGCGCGGCGACCGCGTCGGGCCGCGGACTGCCAGGCGACTCCTCGGGGGGGGGGGGTACCAGCCTCGAACGTATCTCTATCCCTTAGATTGACACGCCAAAAGGCGAGGACAATCTTAGACATTCGCCCTCGAAAAATAAGGGAATCCCTGAGATTGGCATCGTGATGAGGAGGTGCCCAGCATAGGGATAGGGATATGTTCCAGGCTGGTAGGGGGGGGGACCCGGACCTGCGGCGGCGCGCGCTGTCCGTGGTGTGGGCCCTGCAGCTCTCGATCTCGCCCCGAGAGCTGCTCGCTCGCCGCGGGTGCTGAGGCACTCGGTGTCCCCGGGGCCCAACGCGGGCCCTTCCGCAGGCCAAGAGGGGCGGGGAAACCCACCCGCATGTTCTTCTCAGGACGTCGGAGACGCCTGCGCCCCCCTCCAACAGAACAATCGGGCCCTGGACCTCTGATGGAGTGCGTCCTCCTCCTCCTCCTCCTCCTCCTCCTCCTCCTCCTCATCTTCCTCGTCCTTCCTCCTCCTCCTCTTCCCTCCTCCTCCTCCTCCTCCGCCTCCCTCCTCCTCCTCCTCTTCCTTCCTTCTCCTCCTCGTCCTTCATCCTCCTCCTTTCTCATCCTGCCTCCTCCTCCTCCTCGTCCTCCTCGCCAGGAGGCCTGTGGAAGGAGGGAGGCGGCCCCTAGAGGTGTTGGGAGGCCTCTGAGGGCCCCCAAGAGGCCCCATGAGCCCAGACAGGGGTCGAAGACCGGGAGGACGGAGAGGATCGGGCACGCGCAAGAGTGACCATCAGCAAGAGCGGCATCTGGTGCGCGGCTTGCGAGTGGCGCCGCACCTTCCCCCGACAGTGGCGCGCCAGAGGTCACTCCCGCGCAGTGTCACTCCTGCGTCCTAGCCGAGAGGTCAGCACGCCCCCAGACCGACAGAGGCCGTTGTTGGGGAGGCGCCCATCTGTCTCCAACGGAATGCGCAGTGAAATGATTACGTACCCCTGCCCTTGTCCAGGGTTTTTGGTGGCCGCCGCTGATAATTAGGGATGAAAAAAAAACGGCCCTACCCTGGGTTACAAGTGCGCGGTCTGTAAACCTTCTGGGAACCTCCAAAGCCTAGAGCCGCCAGGACGCGGCACATCACGCAGGGTTTACCCTGTCAGCCCCCAGGAGTTTCAGCGCACAGCGCCCCGTAAACCAGGGTAGGGGCTTTTCTGCCCTTGAGGTCATGTTGTTATCTACTACGGCAGCACAGCCGCTCCATGGACAGTGCGGCCGGCGTCTTGCCATACGGGACCGCTTCGCTCAAGGACCACTGCATTGGCGCGGCAACTGACAGACTGTTTTTTTTCTTGAGTGTCCCACCCTCCACGGGGGGAAGTGGCAGTCGAAACCAGTCCAAAAAAGCAGTCGTCGGGAATCTTACATCCCAACTCATGGGGAATATGCGTTGTCGCGAATGGTGATGGCAACGGCCATTAGCAGCCGTTAGCGGCCACAAACGGCATCCAGTCGATGTTGCCCGCAGTGCAAAAAAGACAAAACTGCAACCCCCACTCAAATTTGGACGGCCGCGAATGTGTACATACCCCAAGGCGGGGTCAACCCACAAAAATCCGAGAACGCTTCAAGAACCCACCCAAAACCATGCGCTGTTGATGGCTTGCGCTGTTGAAGAATTAAAGTATCGAGCGGCGGCCGAACACACGATACATATTCGTCGCTTCTGTGAGGTTTGTGGAGGTGGGAGAGGGCATCCCTTGTCACCCTTTAACGGTTGCCTAGATGGGTCAACATCGAGAACCCCCCCATCGGCAGCGTCACCACAGATCGAACCATCGCAAGGGAAGGTGTTTGCGTGGCACGGCGGCGGGCCGTGCCGCAGGCAACTAGATATACCCCCGAAGCGCAACAGTCCTGCAGGACGCTTCTTGGATGGGCTTCAGAATCCGCACGTGGCCGTGCGAGCGCACGAAGACGAAAAGGAGGTGGTTGAGCAGTTGAGCGAATGCCAGAGGAGGACGAGGAGGAGGAGGAGGAGGAGGAGGAGGAGGAGAAAGACGAGGAGGAGGAGGGGCAGGAGCACGAGGAGGAAAAAGAGAAGGAAGAGGGGGAGGAGGAGGAAGAGGAGGAGGAGGAGGAGGAGGAGGAGGAATAGTGGAGGAGGACGAACAGGAAGGATACGAGGAAGAGGGGGAGGAGGAGGAGGAGGAAGAGGAGGACGAGGAGGGGGACAAGGAGGAGGCCAGGAGCCTCTGAGAGCCTCACGGAACCGTCCGACGACCGAACAACACCTGGCAAGATGGGCGGCCTCGTCGACGCCCAACGCCCGTCTGCACCGGGTGCTGGGATACGGCGGGGCTGTCCACAAAGGCTGGGCGAACTCGTCGCCGCCTACCGCCCGCCCGCACGGGGCGGTGGGAAACGACGGGCCCGTCCAGCGGGCGAGCCTCACAAGCAGGAGAGGGAAGATAGGAGGAGGAGGAGGAGGAGGAGGAAGAGGAGGAGGGAAAGGAAGGAAAGGAGGAAGAGGAGCAGGAGGAGGAGGAGGACCAGGACGCGGAAATGGAGGAGGAGGGGGAGAAAGGGGGAGGAAGAGGAGGAGGAGGAGAATGAAGAGGAGGAAATGGAAAAAAAGAAACGGAAAAAGAAGGAGGAGGAGGGGGGGGAGGAGGAGGGAGAGGGAGAGGAGGAGGAGGAGGAGGAGGAGGGAGAGAAGGAGGAGGAGGGAGAGGAGGGGGAGGAGGAGGAAGAGGAGGAAGGAGAGGAGAAGGAGGCGGAAGAAGAAGGTCTGCCTCGTGAACATGCCCGCAACTGCCAGCGATGGGGCAACATGGACCCCAAGGGCCACCGAGGAGAGTGGATGATCCGCTTGCCGTTATGGTCGGGGGGGCGACGACGACGATAAGGCATTGGCCAGTGCAATGAACACGACGCGACGACGACGATAAGCTAGAATATGTCCAATAAGGAGATGAACCCAAATGAGGCGAATCACCAACGCGCGATCTTCAGCACGTTTGAATGGTTGGCCCCCTTCTGCTGGCAGAAACAACGCCCACGCAAAAACAAAGAAGCAGGCTAGGATGATACGCGGACAACACGGAGAACACGAGGCGGGGGTAGATGAGGGCAGTCCAATGTTTCCATCGGTGTGGTCCCGACAGTCGATATATGTTTCTGATTCGATCGAACTACCACTGCGTCAAGCCGACAGGCATGCATCAAGGAGCAAACGGAACTTCTTAATAAAGCAAAGGAATGGGGATGATGTGGTATATAAGTTAACTGAATATGAATAGGAGGTGGAGGTCAAGACGGGAGAAGCACAAGACGGCGAACACCTGTTCGAAAAAAATGTCAGCATGCCGCAACCTCGAAATAAAGCCAGGGTCGTGCACCACCTCGTGCCCCGACGGGGCGCGCGCCTTCAACGGCACGTCTTATGTCCGGACCTCCGATCCCCCCCTCTCGCCAGGAGCCTGGGACTGTCTCTCGGCGCATTGGCCGAACTCATTGAATGTCATCCGTCTTCCCGAAAAGGGCTACGAACTTGGCTTTGTTAGCGGTTTGGGCCTCGGCGTCGGCCTCGGCCTGGGCGCCGCCGCCATGGCTGGCCGCGCCGCCCGGCGGGCCGCCCGTTGCAGGTGTCACGTCCGAACTATTCCTCGCTCGCTGCTTCTCGAGATCCACCTCCTGCCCTTTCCAAGGACCAGTCTCTAATTGCACTCGCAACTTTTTGCTGAGCACCTTGCGGACGAAGGCCTTCTGCTCGTTCAGCGCAGCCTTGTTCTTGACAGCGCTGAGGACACATTTGTCGCCCACCGCCCACTGCTCGCCGTCGGCCGCCGCCGCCGCGCCGGCCGGAGGCGCGGCGGCGCCCTGCCCCGCGGGGTGGGCGAGGCTGGCCTGCGCCGACGCGGCTGCAGAAGCCGCTGCCTCTGCGGTTGGAGGAGCCGCGGCCTCTGCGCTGGCGACGGCCTCGCAAGACGCTGCCCCCGACGATTTGGGGTCATTGGTCGGCGCTTTCCTCGCCTGCGAATGCCCCAGGACGACGCCCAGGAAGGGGCCCCTCTCAACTGAATGTTTCCCCAACGCCTTGGACAACGCCGTGGACGACTCCACCCACCGCTGCGCCAGGAGAACTTCTGCCTCCGACCACGCGCCACCAGGATCCTTCGAGCCATCGGGGTGGCCGATCCCTTGGCCAAGCACCACCATTGGGTCACCGCCCCCTTCCGGAAAGCTTGGAGCTTCGCCTCGGAGGCCTCTGGCACATCGCCCTTCTGCGTGGCTTTCGCGGTCCGCGACTGCAGCGCGCGGAACGCCTCGAACAAGGTCTTCGCCGTTGACTGCTTCAAGAGATTGGCTGCCGTCTGATCTTCGGCGAGGAGGCCGCACGCCTTCCCGGTGGCGTCGCGGCCCAACTTCTTGCACGTCGAAGCGTCGCCGAAGAAGACCTCGAGCACCAAGAACTCGCGCTTGTCGGCCCACTCCCTCAAGATGGCGAAACGGTCAGCGGATTCCAGCATGTACATGACCTTCGCGTGCTGCGTTGCATCCCCGAACACGGTCGCCACGACGCTCAGCTCAGGTTTCTGCTCATTCGTTAGGCTCGAGGCGCTCGCATCCAACAGACCTCGGGCCTTGGCGGCCCTCTCTCCGAAGGGGGTCGCCGTGTTTTTCTTCAGGGCGCGGAGCGCGAATCCCGCCTTTTGCTGCGTGAGATCCTTGTGCAGCTCGCTGTCCGCGAAGTTGTAACTGCCGTAAATGTCCAACATTGATGAGTCTGGGGCCTTCGTGGAAGTCGGGTCAAATGACGCCAGCTGCACCATGGCCTGTCCCATCTTCGGGACCAGCGCCGGGGCCTTCTCCGTCAACTTCTGCAACCAAGCGGTCAAGTGTTTTAGTTCGCTGTAACACCGAGAATTCAGCGTTGCCTTCACCGCGCCCTTCACGCAATCACTGAAGTGCTCCGGGAATGGCCCCGCGCCTGCTGTCTCCACGTGCTTGACGAAACTCCTCGTCCAGAACTCCACCGTATCACTGCGAGACAAATCGGAGCTCCGAAACTGCTTCTTCTCGATGCAGTCTGCGGTTCGCTGCGCTATCTTATGCATGGTGCACGCCCCGCCTGGGTCTGAATCGTGTCTCTGCAGGCGCGGCCTCTTTTTCTCTGGCGGGCACAGCTCGCTGTCCGCACCGTCGCCCTTTGGCGAGCCAGGCGCGGGGCCGTCCTCCACGGCTGGAGTGCCCTCCTGCGATGGCCGCACTGACAGGCGATTCCCCACCGCGGTCTCCCACATCATGACACCAGCGCCAAGCTTTTCGAGAGGAATGCACTTGTCCACGATCCACACTTTCGACGGATCCAACCCCTTTGGCAGGTTCGGCGAACCCTCGGGGCACAAGATGAACTCCGCACCGATCTCTGTTTGCAGGTCTGGCCATTGCGCTTGTGCACCAGCCAGCACTCGCTGATAATCCTGTTCGTCTTCTCGCTGACAAATTTGTTTTTAGCGTCCTCGAACTCAGACTTCTTCGTCCGCTTGAAACCCAACTCCCGCAAAGCCAACCACAGCTGCACGTTATCCGACGTCGCCTCCTCCCACATGTTCCTCAAACGTTGCTCTGCCTTCTTCGCGTCTTGCGAAGAATGCTTGAGATTGCGCATGGCCTCGATGAGCTTACCGGCGCCAGCAATCGGCATGGGCGCACTCGCTGGAAGGCGCAGACGGGAGAGACTGGAGAACTCGCAAAATCCAGGCTGGCGGGTGCCAGGCGCAATCGAGGCAACGGCTGCGGAGGACGGGGCAAACCTGGACCTCTGCGTGCGGAATTGCCCAACTGCTCTGTGCAGCGCGCAAGTGGCCTTGCGTTAACAAATCGCGCGGACGAAATGTCATTCTCAATATGGAGGTCCCTGAAGGTTCCAAGACGAACCGAACAAGGGGCCCAACGGAGATTCAGATGATCGCTGCCATCTGAATATACTTTTGTGCCGTCTTGTAGCCCTCTGGGGGCGCTCTTGGAGCCACCTTTGGGTTCCCTTGGCCCTCTCCTGGGGCACCGCCACACGGTGCTAACATATCGTACGGGCCGAGGGTGTTAACACCATCCGTCGTCCCCCTTAGAACGGGGGGCAAGGCAGATGTGACAAAATGGGGCCCCCCCCCTGGCAGGGGACGGCGCTGAAGACTGCCGCGCATTTTAGTACAAGTGCGTTCGGGGAGGTGTTGGGACAGCATCGCCCACGCGGCCGAAACTAAGAGATCACAAAATGAGACCCCCCCGTGGATGGGAATTGCCTGGGCCCGGATCAGGGTGACCAAACTATATGTCTTCACAACTCGGAAGGAAACCCAGTCTTAAGTAACGTATATGCTCTCTGCGGCTTCACAGAAAACCCCGGTCTTTAGTAACATTCTGGGCCTCCCCAGTCATCCAGCGGCCTCATGCATTTCACTCAAGACACGTGGCTGAAAACCAACAGTATAACTTGAGACTTGCAAGGGGGCGGACGCTGAAGCCTCGGTGTGACCAAAGGGGGGGTGTTAACAAATCGTGCAGACCGAGACGGACGGCGTTAACAAATCGCGCGGACGGGTGGCGTTGACACATCTTTTCTTTCACTGTCAACGTGTAACACTAATTCAACACAAGCCTCATCCTGTCTTGTAATTGTGGTGTGTTACATTCGTGATAATTTATATGCCCTTACTGAGCCATCTTAGGGCCCTCTTGAGGTATCTTGGGGCCGTTGTGCGTTCGAGAGCGATGGTGAGGAATAAATTGCGTCTCAAATGCAACCGCCTGCGCCCGTTGGGGCGGACAGATCGTGTCCCCCCTCTAAAGCGATGGTGAAGAAAAAATTGCGTCTCAAATGCAACCGCCTGCGACACCGTTGGGGCGGACAGATCGCGCCCCCCCTCTGAGGCGATGAGCAATAAGTTGCGTCTCAAATGCAACCGCGTGCGACACCGTTGGGGCGGACAGATCGCGCCCCCCCTCCGAGGCGATGGTGAAGAATAAATTGCGTCTCAAATGCAAAAGCCTGCGACACCGCTGGGGCGAACAAATCGCGCCCCCCCATATGAGGCGACGGTGAGGAATAAATTGCGTCTCAAATGCATTCGCCTGCGACACCGTTGGGGCGGACAGATCGTGCCCCCCCTCTAAGGCGATGGTGAGGAATACATTGCGTCTCAAATGCAACCGCCTGCGCCCGTTGGGGCGGACAGATCGTGCCCCCCCTCCGAGGCGATGGTGAGGAATACATTGCGTCTCAAATGCAACCGCCTGCGCCCCTGCGACACCGTTGGGGCGGACAGATCGTGCCCCCCCTCCGAGGCGATGGTGAGGAATACATTGCGTCTCAAATGCAACCGCTTGCGCCACTGCGACACCGTTGGGGCGGACAGATCGCGCCCCCCCTCTGAGGCGATGGTGAGGAATACATTGCGTCTCAAATGCAAACTCCTGCGCCCCTGCGACACCCCCGACCCGCGAAGATCATGCAGACAGGCCCAACCCCCCCTGTAACCGAATGTCAATTTACCATGATGATGATAACGTGGTGATCACACGGGCGCCAACGAATCGTGACGACAAACCGTGAGGACAGACCCACTGTAGGCAAACTGCTATAGCGAAGCGGCTGTGCTCTTATGAACCCCACGGCGGAAAAAGGGCACCATAAAGACGGAACCGTCTTCCCGACACCTGATGACAGCTGATGGCCCCTAGTGGCCGTTAATAGCCGCTGATAGCCGCTAGTGGCCACAAATGGCCGCCTAAGCGGCCATTAGCCGCCATTCGCAGCCACTAGCGGCAATTAGCGGCCATTAGCGGCCATCAGCGGACAAGAACTGCGGAAAATAATGCGCCTTCTGCGGATCAGTGAGGACAATTCGTTGGCGCATACTCCGTCAAACAAACGAATCCGTCTACCAAGGGACCTCTCCGGGCTCCGTATAAGGCTATCGCGCCGGGGGGTACTCTTAGGTCTCTCCAGAGGCGATTTGGAGTTCCCGTGGGCACACAGATCGGCTTTTCCAGCACGACCCTCCAAATTATTCGAGCCCTCCTGGAGCTGTCCCTTTCTTGGTCTGCTTGCTATCCTCGCGTTTGATTGCCTTCCTCGTGTTTGACTGCTTTACTCCTCCTCCTCCTCCTCCCCCTCCTCCTCCTCCTCCTCCTCCTCCTCCTCCTCCTCCTCCTCTTTCTCCTCCTCTTTCTCCGCCTCTTCCTCCACCACCCCTCCTCCTCCTCTTCTTCCTCCCTTTCCTCCTCGTCCACCTCCTCCCTCCTCATCCTCCCTTTCCTCTCATCCATCCTCCTCCTCCTCACCCTCCTCCTCAGTCACCTTTCCTCCTTTTCCTTTCCTCCTCCTCCTTCCTCCACCTCCTCTTCCTTATCATCATCAACCTTCTCACCTTTCTCCTTCGCCTCCTCCTCCTCCTTTTCCTCCTCCTCCTCCTCCCCCTCTGCCTCCCTCCCCTTTGCCGCCTCCTCCTTCTCCTGCTCCTCCTCCTCTTCTTCCTCGTCTGTCTCCTCATCATCCCTGTCCTCCTCATCTGTCTCCTTTTCGTTCCTCCCCTTCATTCTCATATTTTGTGTCCTCCATTTTCTTATCTTCCTCCTCCCCCTCATTCTATATTTCTCTCTCTCTCTCTCCTCCTCGTCCTCGTTCCGTCCTTATCCTTTTCCTTTTCCTCCTCCTCCTCGTCGCCCCCCTCCCCCCATCCCCCCTGCCGTTCCCTCCCCCCGCGAGGTTGCCCTGCCCCCACCTGCTTTCCCGTTTGACGCGTGCCGTCGGGAAGAAACTGCCGATTTGGCCGGATGGGACACAGGCTATGGTTGCTGGCCCCACGTCGCGCGAATGGCTCTATGGAAGCAACACTGACGAAACCCACTCATGCATTCTCGCATCAGCGGCGGCATTGCCAGCGCCGCCTCCAGGGACGCGGAGCTCGGCTATGTCTCTGCGCAACCGCGCCTCCTCATCGACGAACCAACGGCGCCTGCACGCGCGCCGGTCTACCCATCCACGCTGGGAAGCTCGCGCGAGCATCCACGCCCGCAGAACCAGCCAGGAGCGCGTCGGCTGGTCGTCCGTATCGCAGAAGTCCTTCATCAGCACAGTCTTGGACTTCAACGCTGTGCCCATTTCGCTCTCCGTGGCCCACCGCCCTACCATGGAAATTTTCGTGTCATTGAAAGGAAGGTTGCGAATCAATGTGAAGTAGCCATTGCTCCAGACGACATGTGTGCCTCGGGGTTTCCGGTGTGACTGCAGCTCGTCTGGGTCGGACCCGTCGTCGTCGCTTGGATCGGGGTCAGGATCGGGGCCAAGCTCTTCCGCCTCATCCTCGGCACCAGACTCCATGTCCAAACGCACTGATTCGGCGCTGGAGTTGCTCAGGAAACCATCGTCTGCCAAGCTCCCGTCGCTGTATGAGTTCCCACTTTCATCCTTGAGTTTCCTGCGCTTCTTGGCTGTCGGCTCCACGTCTGTGGCGCCCACGACTCTCACCTCTACTTCGTTTGGGCTGACGCCGTCGACGCGCACGTCAAGGCAGGAAAGCTCTGCGCCATCAGGAATGCTGAAAGACGCAGCCATCTGCTGCGCTGGCAGAAACAAGCGATGCATGTCTCGGCAGCGCAACCCAATCGACAAAGCAGTGACAGAAACAAAAACACGAGCTTGTCCGCGAGAAGAGGGCCCGTCTTCAAACAGAAAAAGCCGAAGTCGACACTCAGGAGCAACTGCGCCCAGGCCGGCGCGGGGGGGGGCTCCCGGCAGGGCTGCAATCGGGCGGCGCGACGGACGCCTTCGGAAGCTCCAACCGCCGTGAACGAGCACGTCTCGAAGCGGTGGCGTCACGCAAAAGGCCCCGAAACTCCGCGTCGTGTTCCTCCAACCGTGCCAGCCACTCCCTGTGAGAACATGGTACCCACGCGGCTGCTGCTGCCTGCTTCGCCTCGTCTATCGCTGCGCGTCTGATGGCTGCTGCCTCAACTTGTAAATCTGCCTTGTGTTCGCTGATGTACTGCTGAAGCGCCGCGTTGTCTCCAGCGTGGGCGATGCGTTGCATGTCAACCTCGCGCAAGCCCACCCCCAATGCAGACGGCCTCGGGGCCGCCGCCACAAGTCGGGATTCTTATGGATGGCTAAAGCTACGTGTCCTAGATGTGTTTTGTTTGGGCCCGGGATGCGGCGGCCCTCCTGTGCCGCGAGATCTCGGCCCTGGTGATTCTGTACCTTCGGGGAATGCTGTTTCTCGAAGCCCCCGCTATGTTCGAAACCCTGTTTCCCTCTGACTTTTTGTCGTGTGCAATTTTCCGTTCCGCGCCCAGCGACGAAGCCTCCGCCGTGCGGAGAACGGTTTCGAGTTCAGCTTGCACTGGCCCAGACGCGAGGAACTCTACTCCAACTGCGACAGATCCGTGCCGTAACGTTTCTGCCTTCAAGGCCACAGAGCAACCTTGGCACAGCACAGCGTCGTCCGTTGATAAGAAGTCCTGGGGAACGAACGGTTATACGAGTTGACATCAATATCCCTCCATCCCCCTCCTGGTCCGATCGTTTTCCTCGTTTCCTGGGTGGCGGGGGTGGGGAGTGCGAAATGGGCGCGAGGTTCTGTTTTCCCCCGAAAGTCCTTGATCCCCTGGACGTATTGGTCAGCATTGAACTTCTTGCAAAGGGTCCAGAGCTTCGTCGGGTCGGATTCATACGAACTGAAACGGATGATGATGTAACCCTCTGTCAAGAGCAACGCAAGGAGAGTTGATGTTTGGTCGAGCTTGGGGCCCAAGCCCATGAGCGTAACCATCTCAGCAAACAAATGAGCCGTTCTTGTCTGCACCTCCCCTTTGCCAAGACGGACTAAAGTCGGGGTGTCGTCTGGGCCTGGGTTTTTTTTCGCCGTCAGGTTGGTGGCGCACACAGTTAATCGCAAACGCAATGACACAGAACGCAAAGTGAGTGTCCGTACTGGGTTTGCTGTACCATGCTTTGAAAGCCTTCAGCCTCTTGGCGTTATCGTCGCGTGGACGGGTAACACCCGTGATGAATATACTGAGGGGCAACGCTACCAGCTTGCACCGGAGCAAAGCCCACGCGCGCTCTGTAAACAGCCAGAATCGCGTTACGATGGGCATCTCCTCAAGTTTCAGGAGCAACTGATATAGCGTGCGGCACGCCCGAGCAGGCACTTCATCGAGGGCAGTTCCTCGCACGCGTACGTGCTCCCAGACGGACAAGCCCTTGTTGAACAGTTCCGCGAGGTCGCTCGGGAGCACGTCGGACCCGTAGAGCGAAAGCATGTTCTGTGTGGCGTGGCCCAGCTGCACGTGTCCCAAAACGTCCCGTTCGTCGAGCTGGAAAGTGGAATTCACGTGAACCGACAGCGCGCGGGCGAACTCCTCGCTATAATCTGGGACTACATGGCGAAAAAGACGGCTGCACGCGCAACATATATCAGCTTCAGAATGGTGAACAGCAGGACCGCATATGGCGATGCTTACTACCAGGTTTGACCGGTGGCTAGCGCACTTCCAAACCAAGAGGCAATACTCAACATTGGCATCCTTCGCCCAATTCGAATAGAAATGCAAGAGGCGACGGCAAGAATTGTCGTTAGTGCTGACGCCGTCACCCGTGACGCAATGAATTATGCGCCACTTGTCAACCATGATGGCGTTTCTGGCCACCCTATCTTTGATCATGTCCGCAATTTGGCGCACTGCCTGGATCAGAGCAGTACCGATTGTGGGGCCGTCCTTCCGTAACAAAGGTTGTAGCTCAGACATCCACTGTACTGACCAATCCCCATTCGATACTGAGATGACGTCGTTGTGCACCTTCGAAGAACGAGATCTCGTGAAACGGTTGCCACCAATCTGGTGGGCGGGTAGGTTCTGGAAAGTGCCCCCATTCGCGCCAGCGTAGCTCCGAAAGCGCATCAATGCTTCGTCGTGCACATGCTGTATATAAACAGAGTTGCGACCACCAGGCATAGATGTCTGGAGATTGGATTCCAATTGTGACTGGCTGCGCCTCTTGATAATCTCAGCGAAAGCATCCCGTGCGTGCGAAATGTACTCTGCCGATATAGCTTTGTCCTCCACAAGTGGGAACTCGGACAACAAATCCTTGAGAGACTGCGCCGTGAAACTCGGAGGGAACAATCCTGCACGCACGAACCATATGTATTGGACTCTGGAGCCGATGCGGTCACCTCTCTCCAACGCGGCTAAACGTTCGGCATGTTGTCTCTTACCTCTCTCGTATTGAACTTTCCGGCGGACGGATCGGAACTCAGCTGGCAATGCTAACGACGATGTAGGCTTGCACGCAGGTCTTCGCCTTGGGGCGGTGTCTGACTCTCCGAACTCCCCATGGAAAAATGTAATCAAACCAACGATGGCATCTCGCAACCTCGGCACGTCGACGTGCAAATCTCAAAGAAGAGGCTCGTTATCATCTAGTTTGCTCGTCACGCGTTCCAAACATCGGATGGCCTTGACCACCTCGTCAATCACGTGCTGGGGCATGGAAGTCAGCCGTTCCACCCAAGACCTGGGCAGCGTTTGAATCTAAGCGGCTGCGGAAGCTGTCGTGACGCAGAGCGTTGTGAGCCCCCTGACCTTCAATGACATGGGTTAGTGGGGCGTGCCGACATGGGCATGCGGTGGAACACGATAACACACGTGGACCCTGCCACTGGGGCGTCGCCGGAGCTCCTTACTGGGCCACAGAACGCATGAGTGGCGTGCCAAATCGACCCTCCCCACAAGCTCCTTCCCTCCCCCCCCCCCGCGCCGATGCCCTCCTCTCCTCCCCTCTCACCTCCCCTTCCCTCCTCGCCTCGCTCTTTCTTCCCTTCCCCCACAATGGCCCGCGGCCCTTGTCGCCAGACTTGGCGGGGGGAGGCGGCAAGGGAATCGCAGAGATGTGGCCGTCCGCCACGCACCCAGACCCCCAGAAGGAGAGGAGCAGGATAATCCGCCACCGTGCCCTCGGCACGAAGTTGAGCGACCCACGGCTCATGCAGCCTCGAGACGTCGAGGATCGTAATCGTTTAAAGAGACCGACCCAACAATTCCCGGGCGTTCCTGGGCGTTCTTGGGCTGGGTCTCATCGGCCTCTGGAAGATAATGTTTTGACACCCCTCAAAAGAATCGCGGCCTTTGGCCCGCTCCTGAGAGCCCCCAAGAGGCCGCAAGAGACCGCAAGAGGCCGCAAGAGGCCCCATGAGAGCCCTTGAAAGGACCCCCAGGAGCGGGAGGAAGGAGGAGGAGAAGGAAGAGGAACAGGAGGAAGGAGGAGTAGGAGGAGAAAGGGACGGGAGCAAGGAGGAGGTGGGGCGCGAGGAAAGAGGAGGAGGAAGAAGGAGAAAGGAAGAAGGAAGAGGAGCAGGAGGAAGCAGGAGGAGAAGGATATGGACGGGAAGAGCCCCCGCAGAAAGAGGAGGAGGAGGAAGAGGAGGGAGAAGGAGGAGGAGGCAGGCGATGAAAACGAGGAGGAGAGGGAGGAGGAGGAGGAGGAGGAGGAGGAGGAGGAGGAGGAGGAGGAAGATTAAGACGGCGGAAGAGGAGGAGGAAGATGGGAAGCCACGGAACGGGGCTGAGGGAGGCTGAGGCAAGGATGGAAGAACGAAGGAAAAAGCGCAGGGTGAGGAAAACAGAACGGAATGCAAATGAGGAGGCACGCAAAGACGATGAAACCGAACAGAAAGATAATGGAAACAACCGTCTTTTCATGTTATGCCAAACGCTTTCGAAGAAACGCCGTGGATTCGACGCGCGTGGCGTCTGATTCGGACGCGCGCCCGGCCTAACGTAGACTCGGACGAAAGTCAGTGGGCATTTCACTCTACGTAGCGCACGTGGCTGGACTGGACTACCGAAAAGGTGGGGAAACTTGGTAACCCGATGCTAAAGCAACTCCCCAATAGTTGGGGCATGCTCTACCTGCACAGATCATTAACTGCGCCAGCTGGCATTAGAATATCGCTTGAACTTCTAGATATTGCGAGGTGCCGAGATCACTGGGACAGGCCTGCCGTAGCTCGAAGGGGCGGCGGCAGTTTGTTGGTTGGGCGCTGGGCCTTTGCGACTCTCTGCCGCAGCTCGCAATGCACACTCGCAACACTCCATGCGCTGTGTGCGTCCCACGCAAGCTAAGACTACGGGGCAAAAAAAACGAAGATGGGCACAAGCCGTGGGCGCTGGATCTGCCAGGCACGTCGGGCCGCGACCAGCAACAGCGAAATTAATTTCCAGTCACCCCATCTCCAGAAGGGTCTCCGCGTCGACGGCCACCACGCCGTCGCGAGAGCTGACCATTTTGCGGCAGCAGAGCGGGCAGCTGTGCCTCTCCGAGTCGCACCGCGAGGCGCTCTGTGCGAGCCAGCGCGCCGCGCAAAGCGGATGGAAGGCGAGCATGAAAGGAACACTCACACTCTGGAGCAGAACCTTCTAGCAGAAGCTAACAGTCAGGAGGTCACCGTTTTTCTGAAAGAAAGCTCTGTGAAAGAAGAAAGGATGTCAGGGAATAGACAGTCAGAATGTCAAGGAAGCTCTGTGAAAGAAAGAAAGTACATGAAAGGAACACCCGCCCTCTGGAGCAGAACCTTCTGGCAGAACTCTGGGAAAGCTCTGTGAGCACCTCGGCGGGCCCGACTTCCTCCAGGCAGATGGCGCACTGGTCGACTCCAGCCGCGCATGCGACCACGCTGGGGAAAGATGTGAGCACCTTGTCGCCCTGCGAGGCCTCCGGTGGCAGCCGGACCACGAATGGCGCGTCGTTGGACAGCTCGATCTTCCTCCCCATGGTCGCACTGTCCTCGAGCCAATTGCAAGGCCCGCCGACTGTGGGGGCACCGTGTGGACCCTCACCTCGAGGGGCCCCGGGCGGCGCAACTCCTCCATCATGGGGCCAGTACCCGCCCACCCCGTTCACCTGCTCGAGGACGAACCCGGGCCGCACGGCCGCGTCGGGGTTCTCCTTATTTTATGTTGGGCGTGTCCCCCTACAGGGGGATTTTCGACGAAAAATTTAAAAAATACCCCACAAATGCCCCAAGAAGGTCAACATACTCCAAAAACAGTCCCCAGACTATTTTTCGTCGAAAATTACCCTGTAGGGGGACACGCCCAACTTAATCCTTGTTCAACCTGTCGAGGACGCGGCCCTCCTCGACGCAGTACAGCACCGCGCCCGTCGGCACGCTCCCGAGGCTTGCGCCGAGCGCGTCGCCGGCGCGTGCCTGTCCTGCAGAGCCTGCTCGACTGTGCACCTCGCCTCGGCGGGGGCACTCGGAGTGCAACCCATGGCGCGCAACCCATGGCGCCCTCGGCGGCGCGCCCGAGCCCGCCCGCGGTGGCGAGCGGCTCCAGCTGTGGCCTGGGCGCCGGCTCCAACCACAGTGGCTTGGGCCAAAAGGCAACGGACAGCTGACAGGCAGATAGAACCGAAGGGCTCTTCAGCCTGGATCCCAGAAGACTCTTTAGCCTGGACTCCCAGCGAAGAACGAACCACGTGAGCGCACAGGCTAATCCAACGGAGGGAATCTGCCCGCGCGGCAACCTTCCAGGGCAAGGCCACGGAGAAGAGGACCTCCTTGACGTAACGAACTCAGCCACGATGGGATCGGCACACAACGGTCTGGGGATACTCCTTTCGGACCCAAGGGAACTGAACAAGTTATCCCAAAACCATAACACCCCTGGCCCACAGGGGCCTGTGAACACTCATGCTTCGAGACACGACGATTCCAGCACGCCCCAAGAACCCCTCAAACGAGGCAAAATCAAGAAACAACAATGTGGGAAAACCCCGAACTGTTTCCACACCACCCGCCACACACGCAATCGCGTCCAGGCGCAACCATTTCGGCTCCGCGCGCCCCAGCAAAGCTTCCGGGGTGACGCCGACAGCGAGTCCTGCTCAAGATGGACCGGAACTGGATCGGGGCCTTCGTCCCAATTACAGATGGGGGTTGACCGAAGGAACGACAAATAAGGAACGAGGGCCATTTTTCCAGAAGTTCGACCTCGATGCCCCATCGAAAACCGAAGGAAAACCTGAGGCAAACTGTAAGATAGCTAAAGAGCATGGAGCCCCTCCCAAACGGAAAAGGCTCCCTCTCCAGCGCCCCGAATGTACTTCCGTCCCCGGCCCGAATGCATCGAGCCAAAGGTCGCTCAGGCAAAGGATCATCTGACGTCTGGCCGACCGCACGTAAACCCTGCCACTGCAGGTCCGATCTCCGAGACGGCGGCCGGGGCATTCAGAGATCAAAGGACGTCAGCAGCCATGCGATCCCCCGCGGGGGCGTCCGATCTCCCGGCGTCGGCTGGACCCCTAGGGGTAAAGCTCGCACGTGGTCGCAGACAGGAGGAAGAGGAGGACGCGGGTACTGCCAGCTTCTTCCGTGCAAGGCGGCATCGATGCCGTGAGCGGTCTCCTGGAGCATGAGTCGACCTCTCCGCCCCCTCTCTTGGCACAGTGGGAAACCAACTTCCTTGTCACACCCTTTTAGTCAAAACTGATAACAAGGATGTACGAAAAAGGATGCAAGGGCCCTGGACGCCCACGCGGAAACTTTTCGAGAGGGGCTGGCCACCAAAAGCGGTCGAGAATAGACCGAAGATGACCACAGAGGCAAGGATGCAAGGGAACCCTTGGGAAGGCGATCGTCCTTTCCATCGGTTCCGACGGTATTGCTGTGGACTCGATTGGGCCTGCAGAGGCTCGCAATTGGTCGGCGAGAGGGGCGGGGGAGGGGGAGGATGGGGGAGGATGGGGGAGGATGGGGGTGGATGGGGGAGGATTGGGGAGGATGGGGAGGATGGGGGAGGATGGGGGAGGATGGGGGAGGATGGGGGGGGGATGGGGGAGGAGGGGGAGGAGGAGGAGGAGGAGAGGAGAGGAGGAGGAGGAGGAGGAGGAGGAGGAGGAGGAGGAGGAGGAGGAGGAGGAGTAGGAGAAGGAGGAGGAGCTGGAGGAGAAGGAGGAGGAGGAGGAGGAGCGGAAAGGAGGCCAACGCTGCAACGGGAGCACGATTCGGAACGAGCGGAAGCGCGGAAAGGAGGCCAGCGCTGCAGCGGGAGCACGATTCGGAACGAGCGGAAGCACGGAAATAAGGCCAGCGCTGCAGCGGGAGCACGATTGGGAACGAGCGGGGCCCGAAAATGAGGCCGGCGCATCAGCGAGAGCAACATAAAAAGAAAAGATGCAGGCGAAAACCAAACTCCAGGGAATCCTGTGCGTAAAAAACAATATGCGTGGGGGAGGCGAACACTCCCAACCCGTCATCAGGGGAAGGAGGAGAGTAGTATCCATATTGAGTATATTAATTGTAGAGGGAGGGGCAAGGGGGAGGGGGAGGGGGAGAATTGGGGGGGATGGGGAGGATGGGGGAGGATGGGGGAGGAGGGGGGGGAGGGGGAGGAGGAGGGGGGAGGAGGGGAGGAGGAGGAGGAGGAGGAGAAAAAGGGTAGAGGTTATGGGTGCCTCGTCAAGGCGGCCAGGCGCACCTGGCGCCCTGGTGCCGAGCGGGGCGGCAGCGGGGCTCCTGCAGCCCCCACCAGGCGGCCTCCTGGGGGCGCGCCGCGCCGACCCCCCCCGGCCCGGCCCGCGGAGAGGGGCGGGTGGGCCGCAGGGGCCCCACGGGCGCCCTGCGGCGGGCAGGAGGAGGAGCGGGGGCGCGCAGGCATTCCTCCTCCTCCTGCTCCTCCTGGCTCCTCCTCCTCCCCTCCTCCTCCTCCTCCTCCTCCTCCTCCTCCTCCTCCTCCTCCTTCCTCCTCCTCCGCCTCCCCCTCCGCCTTTCCTCCGCCTCCCTCCCTCCCTCCCCCGTCCCCGTCCCCACCTCCCCCCCCACCTCCCCCTCCTCTTCCTCCTCCTCTTCTTCTTCTTAGTATTATTATTAGTATGCTTAGTATTCTTATTATTATTAATATTAAGAGTATGATGCTTCTCATGATTAGTATTCTTAGTAGTCGTCTTATGTTTATTATTCGTATTATTGCTCAATGCCCTCATCTGTATTAGTAGTAGTATGTTTCGTCTTAGTATTAGTATAATTAGTAGTATTATTAGTAGTATGATTCGTCTTAATATTCTTAGTAGTATTATAAATCGCACAATTACTAGTATTAGTAGTCTTAGTAGTATTATTCATATTCTTCTACTTATTAATATCCACATTATTCGTATTAGTATGGTTGTTCTTCTCCTGCTTCTCTATAATATTACTATTCCTCCTCTTTGACCACCTCCTCCACCTCCGCCTCCTCCTCATCCTCCTCCTCCGCCGCCTCCTCCTCCTTCTATTGTTTTATTAATATTATCATGAGTATCACTCGTATTATTCGTATTGTTATTATTGTTTTTCTTGACATGCTATTCCTTCGTACTATTGTTCGCCCGATCAGTATTATTAGTGTTACCAGTCTGCTTATTCTGCTTAGTACTATTCTTATGTTTATACGGTTAACATTAGTAGTATGGTTCTCATTTCTAGTCGTACCAGTAGTAGGATGTGTATGAATATGACTAGTATTATTTGTTATTATTACCACTATTACTATTAGAAGTATGACTATTAGAATTAATAGTTTTTTGAATAATATTAGATGTACTACTCTTCTTATGATTAAAACTGTGATTTTGCTGATAAGTAATGATTAGCATTAGCAATATTATTATGAGTCATATTTTTCATGTCTACTTTTGTTAATATAATGAATGTTATCAGTATTATTATTCCTCCTCCTCCTCCTCCTCCTCCTTCCCCCCCTCTTCCTCCTCCCTCCTCCTCCTCCTCCTCCTCCTCCTTGCCCCCCTCCTCCTCCTCCCTCTCCTCCTCCTCCCTCCTCCTCCTCTTCCTCCTCCTCCTCCTCCTTGTCCTCGTCCTCCTCCTCCTCCTCCTCTCTTCCCTCCTCCTCATCCTTGTCCTCGTCCTCCTTCTCCTCCTCCTCCTCCTCCTTGTCCTCTTCCTCCTCCTCGTCCTCGTCGTCCCCCTCCTCCTCCTCCTCCTCCTCCTCCTCCTCTTCCTCTTACTCCTCCTAGTCCTCCTCCTCCTCCTCCTCTTGCTCCTCCTCCTCCCCTTCCTTTTCCTCCTCCTCCTCCTCCTCCTCCTCTTCCTCCTCCTCCTCCTTCTCCTACCGATCCGTGGACTTGGCGAGCCGCCTCGCGCGGCGGCGGCGGGAATCATCGATTGTTCTCATGGAGACGGGGGCCGTCGCTGATCCACTCCCCCCGGATCCGTGTGCGCGATCGCCCGGGGGTCCGCGGGGCCGGGCGGCGCTTTCAGGGGAAGAACGACGAGAGGGGAGGGCGAAGAAACGAAAACCGCTCGTGCCCCGTTGGGAACCCAGAGGGCCCCCCCGAAGGTGCACGGGTGGTGCATATTTCCGCCCCCCCCCCGTCGACCGCCTCCCTCACGAACGCGTCTCTTTATGTTCGGCGATGACGGGCGTCATGGCGTCAGGGGGGGGGTCTGACGTATCGCCCCTCCCGCCGTGGCCGCAGCCCCGCCCGCGCGCGCGACGCGACGAGCGACGAGCGACGAGCACGACGACGGCGACGACGACGACGACGACGACGACCACGACGACGACGACGATCACGACGACGACGACGACGACGTCGACGACCTGACCACCATGTAATTGGCGATATGCCCCACTGCGCTTGTGTACACCACGACGCCCGCGTGCACCACAGCGCGCGTGTATACCACAGCGCCTGCGTACACCGCAACAACCGTGTACAACGCAGCGCTGGTGTACACAATGCTTGCGTATTGTATAGCAATGGCGTAGTGT